TCCTGCCCGCAGCGCCGGCCCGGTGCCCCCGCGCCTGCGAGCCCGCCACGGCTCAGGGTGAGACGCGCCGTGCCGAGGGCTGGACACGGGACGCGCCGCCGCCTCCCAGCCCGGGGAAAGCGGGGGGCACTCCGCTTGGGGAGGGTCAACCCCCGGCTGGGCCCAAAGCAGCATCCCTGCTCCCGGGGACCCAGTCACAGCCCTGGCGGTCACCGAAGCCGCCCACCCTGCGTCCCAGCCCTGGGAGTGGCTGTGGGGCCAGGTGACAGCAGCTCTGGGGCACTCGCAAAAGGGACCGGGCGTGTGCTTGGGGGAAAGGGGCACGGGGCGCTACAGAGCAGGGAGTGAGGGGCACGGCCAGCATCAAACCCACCTGGACCCTCAGTGCTGGAGGCACGAGGGAGAGAGGAACGGGACAACCCTGAGAGGGGCCTGGGCTCCGACCCAGCCTGTGACAGCTCTGATCACACCTTCCCAGGGCAGCCTCTGCAGGCTACTGCCACCTGCCCAGGGTCAACAGGTGCTCTGGCATCCCCAGTTCAACTCAGCACCCAGCCAGGCCCTAGGTGTCTCCCTCCGGGTGCCAGGGCATCATCTGCACACAAGCATTACATGTGCACCTGTGGGCACTTAACTCCCTCTGCCTCTCCCAGGCAATGGAGGCTGGCAGCCCTGCACTCCTGGACACGCTCTTTGAGCAGGGGGAACTGTATCCTGGTGCCATGCTGCCCAGCCCAGCCCCCTTCCCTGCCTTGGACCCAGGTCCCAGGGGCTCCGAGAAAGCGCTGGGGGAGTGGGCAGCCAAAGGAGACCAGGTGAGCCAGGACTGCGTATGTGGGAGCAGGGCAGGGGTACAGTGCATGCAGGACTGCAGCCAGGGACTTGGGGGGGCAGAGGCTGCAGTCATTGCTGTCGTGTGGGGAAAATGCCCTGGGCACGGACAAGCAGGACCTGGCTTTCCCTGCCCCCTGCAAGGCAGCAACGCCAGGGTCCCAGCCCCCCAACAACCACAGGGGTCACCTCTGCATCATCTGCCAGCCCCGCACCCCACCCCCCAGCTCCCACCCCTGGCATCCCCTCTACAGGGGCTGAACAAGAGCGAGCCTGAGGACGTGCTGGGGCTGCTCATCAACCCCAATGCCGTGTACCACGCGGGCAGTGCCTTGGGCTCCCCGGGCAGCGACAGCGGCATCTCGGACGAGCCCCCCGCCGGCAGCCCCCCACATGCCATGGCCCACCAGCCCCAGGGCCCCCCGGCTGCTGTTTACCAAGTGGTCTGTGACATCGGGGAGCTGAAGAGCGAGCCCCTCCACACCAGCATCATCTCCATTCAGCTGGGTCAGTGGAGCTGGGCTGGGGTGGAGACCCTGGTACTGGTCCCGCATAGGGGCCAGACAGGCCCCTCACCTGTGGTGGGGGGTGGAAGGGGCAGGTCCTCCCTGCAGTGGGGGCATAAGGAGCTGCCCTGAGGCTGGCACTCCCCATACAGCCCCCACACATGGCAGGTCCCTGGCAGGCTGTGCTTCCATGCACCCCCCCCAGCAGAAGCCATGCCTGCCCTGGGTGCTGACCTGTGTCTCCTGGCACAGATGACTGGTCATCCCCAATGCTGATCCCCGATACCTGCGTCGTGGAGGAGCTGCCTCCCATGCACACGTTGGACTCAGCTGGGCCTGGCGCAGTTCCTGGGCTGGGCAGTACCAGGGACATGCAGGTGCCTGAGGTCCTGGTGAGTCCAGCCCCTCTTGAACCCCCTCAAATCATAGGGAACTCCCTGCACCAACATCCCTGGCAGCAAGAGCCCTTGGAGCTCAGCTGCTGCCCTCTGTGCTGAGTCAGCGCAGGTCCAGACTGACGGGGGATGCAGCCCCCCTTAGAAGCCCCCGAGCTGGAGAGGGTGCCCCCCCTGCACCCCTACCTATAGCTCCTGCTTATCTCCAGCAGCTGCAGTTCCCAGATCTGCTCCTGACAGAGGAGGAGAGGCAGCTGCTGACACAGGAGGGGGTGTCGCTGCCCAGCGGCCTACCCCTCACCAAGGTACAGAGGCAGGGGCAGAGCGTAGCACGGGTATGTGACCACTAGTGCAAGCTTGCATGTGGCCTGGCTCCCACACTCTGCAGCCACCAGCTGCTGGGGGCAGGCTCAAAGGGAAAACAAGACTGGGCCTGGGTTTGTGCCCCCCACTGGCCCCATATCTGGAACCCCTGAGCTGTGGGGAGCAGAGGCATCAGCTTGCTGGGCAGCACTGCAGAGCTGTGGGGCACCGCGTGGGTGCTGAGGCCGTGTCTGCCCCCACAGGCAGAGGAGCGGATCCTGAAGAAAGTGAGGAGAAAGATCCGCAACAAGCAGTCAGCCCAGGACAGCCGGCGGCGGAAGAAGGAGTACATCGACGGACTGGAGGGCAGGTGGGCCAGTGCTTGCCCCTCATGCACCCACATAGTGGGCATGCACATGCGCTCGCTCACACTCCCATGCACACAGGGGGGCCCAGCCTGCCTTGTCTGGAGCCCAATGGCCTGAGCCTCAGCCCTGCGACGCCAAGCAGCCCCCTGCTCTGCCCGCACTGACGCACCCAGGCTGGGCAGGGGGCACTGGCAAGAGCCCTGACCCTCTCCCCTCTGCCCAGCAGGGCGGCTGCCTGCTCGGCCCAGAACAAGGAGCTGCGGAAGAAGGTGCAGGAGCTGGAGAGACACAACGGGTGAGTGTGGGCCTCACTCCCCTGCCTGGCTGGGAAGGAGCCCTGGAATCCTGGCTCCCTGGTCCCTGCTCCCCTCCAAAGCAAGGTGCATTGGCAGAGCGGGCAAGAAGCTCCCAGATTTGCCCCCAGGGCCCTGCCAACACAGCATCTCCCTGCAGGGCCCTGCTAAGCCAGTTGCAGAAGCTGCAAGCGCTGATCAAGCAGACGTCCAACAAGGCAGCTCAGACCAGCACCTGCATCCTGGTACTGGGTGGAGCTGGGCACACGGGCACATGTGGGCTCACATGACCACACCAGACATGCTTCCCCTCCCCGCCATGCCACTCCCCCAGCTGGGCCTGCATGCCCCCCGCAACAATAGACGCGAGCCACAGACATGCGTGTCCACACGTCAGCACAGCCAGGCTCAATTACAGCCCAGCCACACACGCGCTGATGTGCCCTCCCCATGGGCATGGTTCACCACCCACTCCGGGCCTCTGCAGCTCCATCCCCCTGTCCTCACCATATCTCCTGCAGATCCTGCTCTTCTCCCTGGGACTCATCGCCTTCCCCAGCTATAGCCTCTTCCACAGTGGGAGGCAGGCAGGCGAGGCCTACAAGCCCAGGGGAGGTAAGAGGCAGGGAGCCTGGAGGGAGCAGGGGGCTTGTTCTGAAATAGAACCAGGGGGAGGCAGAGCTACCTGGGACCCAGGGGGTCTCCACGCTATCCCCTCTGCCCCAGCTGGGCCCTGATGACACTGCTTCCACCACAGTGATCTCCAGGAACATCCTAGCCCAGGCAGATCATTCGGCCCCGGTGGAGGAGGCGCCTGAGCCGCCCCGCAGGGAGCAGCCAGCACTGGAGGGGGCAACTGGGAACCCCGGCCTAGGGCAGGAGGTCTCCAACATCTCTGACACGGCCCCACCTGCAGACCCCCGGGCTCAGGCCTGGTTGCAGCAGGCAGTCCCTGCAGGGCTGCCCCAGGGGCAGGCAGCCAAGCTGCTTCACGCCAATGAGATGTGACGAGGCAGCCGGAGCCCAAGCAGGTCCTGCTGCCTTGCTGGCTGCAGCCATGGAGAAGCGTCTCCAGCCCAGCCCACGGCCCCCAGTGGTGCCCAGAGCCCCCCAGGAGCAGTAGGGCCCCCTACACTGCTGTGCCCTGTAGGGTCCACAGGCCCCAGGGTACAGCACGGCCACAAAGCCAGAGTCCCATGACCCCGAGCTGTGACGGGCCCTTTCAGAGCAGATTTCTGCCCAGCAGGACCTGTCAGCTCAGGCTGGGCTGAGCCAGGCCCCAGCAGCACTGAGGGGTGCTGCAGCTGGCCTGGCGGCCCAGCCTCTGGGAAGGTGCTGGGCTGGGCCCTGCTCAGGGGAGAGGGAGGCAGACTCATTTTTAATAAAACATCATTTGGTTCTTCCTGGCTCTGACTCCATGGACAGTGCTGGGGCAGCGGGAGGGATGTTGGGTTCCTGGCCCTGAACAGGCATGAGGCAGCCTGGCTCCAGCCCTGAGCACAGCACCCCTGGGGTCCTCCCTGGGCCATACCCTTGTGCTCTCAGCCCTGGAAGCCCCAGGTGGCTTGCGACTCTCAGCCCCGGAAAGAGACAGCAAGAGTCCCCAGCTGGACACCCTACCCCCAGGGCTAGTCTGTGGGCACCTGGTGCTGGCAGAGCGGGGAGCTATCCACAGGGCGCCAGGCCCAATGCCTGCTCCTGCCCTCCTCAGCCCCCACTAAAACTACCCATGGAGCAGACCCCAACAAGATGCTCTACAGAGGAGCCACAGCCCACCAAGCACCACACCCAACCCACTGCTTCTGGGCGGGGCTCCAAAGTAAAGGAGCCAGGGAGGGGCCTGCGCCACACCCTGAGCAAACAAGCCAGTGCCTGGAAGGCCGCTACCCCCACAGGCCTCGCTGCTGCTGCCTCCACCCTTTGGACTTCACCCTCCCTGGCTTCGCTTCCCCTCCCCCTTCAGCCACCAGGTCACCACAAACCAGAGCCCACAGCCGCAGCAAGTTCATCCGCGCTAACCCCAGGACCCTGGTGGACGCCTGCAGCAGGGAGGCGTGGGGCCGGCAGGCACCGACACACCAAGCAGCGTTTCTTGCAGTCAGAAGCGGCATTTATTGTGGGGACTCCTGCCTAGAGCACATGGGCACCAAGTTGGCTCCCAAGAACCCAGCGCAAGCCTTGCCCCCTTCCACAGCCACCAGCCAAAAGGGAAACAGGGAGCTATAGCGGGACAAGACTGCAGCTGCTGCACGAAGGCCAAGACAGGCCAAGGGGGAGGCCTGCTGGGGCAGGCTGCCCTTGTTCAGTGTCCCAGGGCTGAACTCCTATAGTCTCCAAGGAGCAAGCAAGGCAGCTCCCAGCATCTTCAGTCCGTGTTAGCAGCATGAAGTGCTCCCAGAGGAGCGAGGAGCAGAGCTCAGTCCCCAGCATGGATTCCCTGCCACCACGGCTCCTGGGCACAAGCAGAAGGCAGGGGCAGCCATGGCTCCCAAGGCAGCGACACTAGATGGACTCGATCTGCTTGCGGACCTTCTCCAGGGCCTTCCTGTCCAGCACCCTCTGGCGGCACACGACCAGCAAGGCGAAGATCACGGCCACACCAATCATGGCCCCCTCAAACCTCCAGAAGGCGCGGGCTTCCATCACCGCCGAACGGCAGCTGCCGAGAGGAGACGCTGCAGGGCCGGGACTTCCAGGGTAGGGAGACAGATGCCCCCGGCACCCTGCCGAGACTCGCCCAGCAAAGCTGAGGGGCCATGGCCCTCGACCGAGCCATGAGGCTCTTAGGGCTCCACTTACCTCTTGTACTCGTTCTTCTGGGATGTGGCGCAGTTAATGCGCTCAATGAAGCCGGTCGGGCTGCACTCGGGCATCGTCTTCTGCAATCAGAGCAGACCCACGGCCGCGGTCAGGGTGGGCCAGGCGCCCCCTCCCCAGGCCTGGGCCAAGCCGAGCGGAGGGAGAAGCCGGCACCAGGGCAGGCGGAGCCCCCTCGCCCGGCTCTCACCGCCTCGAAGGTGGTGCACTGGGTGCACTCCTGGGCCACCACGAACTCCTCCACGTGCCAGCACGGCGTGGCCACCACGGGGCTCGCTAGGGAGAGAGGGGACCTCAGCGCCCTGGCACCAGGCCGCTGCCCCCGGGGAGGCTTCGCCCCAGGATCACGGCCGCGCCGGGCTGACCCTGCCCCGAGGGAGGGGGTGGACCCACCTGAATGCTTGTCGCTGCCGGGCCCCGTCGTCTCCGCGGGGCTGCGGGGAAACAGGTGGTCAGCGGCGGCCCGGGCCC